TAAAAGTTGAATAGTTTCAGTAGTAATAGGTATCATTAAATCATGAACATTACTATCAATTGATACTTGAGTACCTCGTATTACATTATTAAATTCCTATCTGGTATTACTTATACTAGATAGGTTCATAAAGATAGAGATTTTGAATGATATTCTGGAGACTTTGGTTGATACTCTGGAGATTTTAACTTTTTCTCAAATTTATCTAACCTCTTTTCAACTAATTCAATCGTATCAGAAACATTAATCTTTTTCTTTTTTCCTTTTCTGAATATATAGATTTTAAAATCTTTTAACAACTTAACTTCATCTTTATATATCGAAGAGTCTGTATCATTTAGATTTTTTACTCATAAATATATATCATAATCTGGTTTTAATATTCGAAATAGTTTCTTAAACTTCATCAGAGAACCTTTTTTGTTCAGATTTCCAAGTTTTTCTTTTGTTGGTAATGATTTGTTCATACTCTGTAATAACTTAAAATATTCACATCTTCTTCTAAATTGACATTGAGAAGCATTATAGCAATTATCATAATTCCAAAGATATAGTTGAAATTTTTGTTTAGTAGATTTTCTACTTTCACATTTACAATTGAAAAATTCAAGAAATAGTATACATTTCGAATGTTTTAATATATCAAACTTTTCTTTTATATCACATCTTTCAAACTGAATCACATATGATCTCTCAAAATCTATATTATGAAATGATATAACATTTTTGATTATATACAATTCATGAAATACTTTCCACTTAAGTAGAGAGTATTTTGAGAAATTAGTCTTTATATCTTGATTGATCAAAGACATTATTTCTCTTGATATCTGGCTTGAAGAGCTCTGTATCAGTTATCAAATCCTGAGATTTGATGAGAATTTTACATATTAATTTTCATCCTTTTTATAGAAAATTGTCAGTAACAAAAAAAAGTTTAAGATTTTTTTTGTTTCTCTCGTAAAATGTTATTCTCTTCATAATAATTAATTTTTAACAAATGAACATTTTTTTAAAACAATTTACATAACTGATCACTAATTTCCTCATGAGGATTATCTAAATAATCCTCAAATATTAATTAAAGATTCCTTATGAGGATTATTTAAACAGTCCTCAAATAGATATATGTAACTATTTACAAATATTCTCTTGAGGATCTCTCAAGTGATCAACTGATGTTTGATCATAAACATCCTCATAAGAATCATTTTTTAAATGAAATATAAAACAAAAGAATTTGTTAAAAAATTTATTTTTATTTGATTAATTTTTTAAAATAAAATATAATTTATTTAATAAAATATTTTTTTTACAAATATAAAATATAAAAAAAAAATATTTTAACGCTCCTTTATTCTACATGTAAATTTTTTATTTTTATGATTTATAAAATTTTTTAAATTGCTCTCTAGAGTATATCCAATATTAATAAATAATTTATTTATATTTGTATAGTTATGAATTATCCTTCTGTAAAAAGTATCGATTGCTTTTTCTACTAATATCTTGTTTTCTTCTTTATTCAGTTTCTTGTCAGTTTCTAAGTCTTCTGCTAGTAGTTTAGAATGTTCGAATTCATTTTCTTTAGTTAACTTGAGCCATATAGTAATAATTTTTTTGTTATTGTCATCAAATTGGAATTCTTTTTCAACATACGTATCGTAAACTTTAATTTTTTGGTAAAGAACTTTCATTTTTTTTTTTGAATTTAAATATATTTTTCTTGCTCGTGTTTAAATTTTTTTATGTCTTGGTTTATTTTGATTCCTAGCGCAATAAAATTGGCAGCAACTAAAACTCCGACAATTATAAGAGGTACCATTTTTTTATTCTGAAAATATTTTTTTATATATAAATAAAAAAATTTTACATGCATTATCAAACAATACGATTATTGAATAAATCTAAATATAGTAATATGGCTTTTCTATCATATTTACGAAGTTAATATTTGCCATAACCTCTGATGTTCATTAATTTTTATTTTTTGGTTACAACTACATGTTCGTTCTTTAGATATATTATTTAAAAGTTTATAAAATTTATCTTGTTCAGTAGAAATCATATATTTGTATCTTTTAGATAATGTTGTAATCACATCATCAAGAGTATCATCTCTCTTTCTTTTATAACAATTATTAATATTTGAAATTTTTACTATTTTTCAAGATTTCTCATATGAAATAGATTGAATAAATGAAAATATTTTTGTATCTTTGCTTTTTTTTTTTAAATAAAGATTTTATATTTATACTTAAAATTTTATTAAAATATTTGATATTATATATTTTACAAAATAAATATAAAGTTATAAAAAAAAAATTTTGTTCATCTAAGTGGTATAGCTATTTGTTTAAAATTATTAAACAAGTATTTAGACCACGTAGATGAACAAAAAATAAATCTTTGACAATGTATTTGTCAAATTCAAGATTATATGCTTTTTTAATTTTAGGCATAAAATTTAACTAAAGAATTTAAAAGTCTAATCTACTTTAAAACCTAACTTAGAACTCCAATTCCACCAAGATAACAATCTTAATTAAAGTCGAGAAAAAGGTCTTAATGATGCTGATATCTCGATTTGATCTTTTGTGTATTCTCAAGATCTCAAATTTACTAAGTTTTCAAGTAAATTTTGGATATGTAAAGTTGCATTTAAAATTTTTTAAGTTTTTGAGAATATATGGATTCAAAATCTGAATCCATACTGAATAAATTTTCTAAGTGAATTTTAATTTTACTAAGAAATAAAATTAGAGTTTTTTTAAACTCTAAGGAAAATTAAATTTGTACTAATAAGTTTGCTAGTACTTCAGATCAATAAATAAATCGATCTGAAAAATGTTCATATAAAAAGTTCTAGTAATAAATTTGAATTACTGAAACTATAATAATTACAATAATAATATTTATTGTAATTGCACTTATTCAAAAAAAAGTTTTTGAATAAATAATTTTAATGTTGAATTGGTGAATATAAGAGTTGTATTTACTAAGAGAGAGGTTTGTTAGAAACAAACCTAAAAGAGAAAGAATAATAGCAACAAGAAAAAAGATTTTTGAAAACATTTTAAAAAAAGTAATTGATAAAGATTCAAAGAAGTTAAGGTAGTTTTGATTTTAAGATTTTAAAATGAATAAATCGTAAAGATTCTAGTTCATTTCAAATTCTTTTATCATTAAAAAAATCTACTAGATTATTTTTAGTCTAATTGAATATATACAAAAATTTTTCAATGAGAAAATAATATTGTATTATCAAACAATCTATTTACTAAATATATCTAAATAAAGTAATAAGGCTATCATTCATAGTTTATAATAAAGTCATTTGATTTTTTATATAAAACAGGTTATTTCCATTTAAAATTATAATATATATATAGTTTAAAATAATTAATAAATTAGTGATTCCAAATGTCATGTTTTTCAGATCTATTTCTTTTAAATTTTACAACGTAAGTATTGTTATTTTTTTTTTTAAAAAAAAAAATTAATAATTAAATAATAAAATTTTATTAGTTACAGTATGTTATTTATAAGTGCTTTAACTATCAATAAAAATAACAAGAATGAAATAATTCAAGAATTTCTTAGAATAAATTTTCATATTATAGTTGAAACAACTGATAAAGAAACATGTTCTCATTTATTCTTTATTAAAAAAAATGAAGAAGAGATTATTCCTATTCTTGATGGTGTAATTTGTAAAGTAGTAAATAATAAGAAGAAGAGAAACAAAGTTCTAATATCAAATTTTTTTGTATTAACATATCCAAACAAATATATTATCTACTATGATACTGAAAATAATCCTAGAAAAACAAATAAAAGTACTAAGATTTATATGATTAATTGTGAAATCAAGAAGAGTTATCAGATTTATAATTACAAACAAATTTCTGAACATCAAAAAATCAGTGAAGAATTGGCTCAAGAATTTGCACAAAATTATATTGATGATGATAATAATGATGATGAGGAAAATATTGAATAATTTATTTTTTTTTATATGTTATTTTTTTTAATTATTTAAAATTATATTTGTTAACTCTGAATATATATCTTCTTGAATTAAATATAATAAAAATTTATTTACAAAAAAAATTGACTGAAAATTTTTCATATTTTGAATAAAAATTTTTTATGCTTTGAACGAACTCTAACAAAAAAACTCTGAGAATTTTTCATGCTTTGAATGAACACTAACAAAAAAACTCTGAGAATTTTTCACACTTTGAATGAACTCTAACAAAAAAACTCTGAGAATTTTTCACACTTTGAACAAACTCTAACAAAAAAACTCTGAGAATTTTTCACACTTTGAAAAAATAAAAAAAACTCATTTTCACACTTTGAGAGATTAAAAAAAACAAATTTTCACACTTTGAATAAACTCTACAAAAAACTCTGAGAATTTTTTATATTTTGAATTTGTTTAAGAAATATTGTTTTAAAAAATAAAAATATTTATTTAAAATTTAAAATACATTTTCCATTAATTTTAATATTAATACCATTAAAATTCAAATCAATATTACTATTCTTTTCTAATATAATACTTTTTTTTTTTTTTTTTTTTTTTTTTTTTTTTAAAGTGAGGTCTTTCCTCTAGCTCTTTATTGATAATTAAAAAATTC